CTCCCCAAACTTGCGACAACAGAGTAGCACGTCAACCAGGCATGTATGCGGCCAGGTGCTTGGAGAGCACGTTCCGCATCTTCCTTGGAGAGGCCTTCCAGCAGCAGTGCGCGAGAGGATCAGCCCTGCGCACAGCCTCCTTCCTGAAGGATCCCCCTGACATCATTGCCAGGAATCTAGGAGATTCTGCTGACCTGTATGCTCAGGTTGTTCAGTTCGTTGATGAGTGCATTGAATCGCGGCTCCCCTCCTGCAGCCAGGGACCCCTTGCCCACGAGCCTCAGGAGGCTGCTCAAAATCCGTTGCTTACCAAGGGAGCGGATCTTCTTGAACGGGTCTCGGTCTTCCTTGGGGTCTTCTCTAGTAAGGAGAGGGCTGCTGCGAATAAGAGTTGGAGGGCGTGGCTCCTGGACGGTATTTCCTCGGGAGCCCGAAAGGTCCACTGGTGGGCCCGTGATCTGGGCCCCTGGCGCCCTACCACTACTTTGTCGTCGGGGGGCCTGGTGCTGTCTGATCCTCAGTCTCTCTTGCAGTCTGAGGCCGCCCGTTTCAGCGGTCTCTGGAAGGCGTGCAGAGAGAGCCCCCCCTTCGTTTTTATCCCTCGTCCCCGCCTGCGCCCGACAAAGGCTCGAAATCCAGTTTGGTCAAATCGTCTCCCACGGGGGCCCTGACTCAGGCGCGCCTGGACCCGCTTCCTGTTGCGCCGCCCGAAGAGCTTCGGAGAGTCTCAAGGTCTTACCCGAAAGGGACAGCTATCAGTGTGTATGGATTCCACATGAGGCACTACGCCGCGATGTCCGACGGTGCCCTCATCGTTCTTATGTCTATGTTCAGTATCATGGAGTCCACCACCGTCGTCCCCCACCACGTTCGGTCCCTCATGATCGCTCTCTTGCCCAAGCAGGTGGGGGGATGGAAGCCCATAGGATTGTTCGCGTCGTCGTATCGGCTGCATGGTCGCCTCCGTCGTCCTTACGCTGTATCTTGGGAGAACGATTTGGCTCGCCCGTACCTCGCGGCAGGTGCTTCCACTGGCGCTGCTGATGTGGTCTGGCGTCAGGCAGTGCGTTCTGAGTTTGCTACTGGCTCGCGTGGGCCAGGTGTCGCCTGCTCAGTCTTATGGGATCTGCACAAGTTTTACGAGCTCGTCGATCTTGGACTACTTCAGGAGAGATGTGATCTTTTGGGATTCCCTGCCACCATTTCCCGTTTGGCCATTACTATGTATCGAGGGCCCCGTTGGATCTCTATAGGTGGCATGGTACAGGGCCCCTATTTCGCTCAGTACGGGGTTGTGGCTGGAGATTCGTTTGCCACCTCGTTCGTTCGCGCCTACATCATACCCAGCATCGACCTCCTCGCGCCTTCGGTCATGGAGCCCCTTGATGTTTATATTGACGGCTACGGTCTGCAGGCCACTGGCAGCGAGCGCTCGGTAGTCTCAGACATTTTGCGTGGTGCTTCCCGGCTTCACGCCGTGCTCACCGATGATATGAAGAGTATCGTTTCCATCGAGAAAGCCTCCGTGGTTTGCTCTTCTCAGGTTGTCGGTTCCAAGGTTCGTGATCTTCTGGAAGGTCTAGGAGGAGCCACTCCAGGCACGAGCACGGCTGTGAATTTGGGGGCTGACGACACTGCTGGCAGGCCTCGGAGGCAGGCGGGCCGCGGAGTTAAAGCTAGACAGCGCCTCAAGTCTTTCAAGATTCGTGTGGCGAAGCTGAAGCGTGTTCGATCTGTTCTCGGCCAACGACATTCCAAACGTATTTTCACCGCAGGGCCCCTCGCGGGGGCCTCCTACGGAGGTGAAATCCATGGGGTATCTGACTATAATCCCGCTGGGCTTCGCCGCGGTCTAGGTCGCGTCCTCAAGCCGACGGCGGCTATGAGGAGTCTCACGTCCCTCTTGATCTTGGAGGGAGATCCCTGCTGGCACGCTGCGGTTCTTCCAGTTATTCGCTACTCCAAGGAGATTTGGGCTAATCAAGTTAGGATTTTTAAGCACCCTCTTTCGTTTCGGGATCATCGGGCCTCCTGGGAGGCCGTCTTCCAGGCGGCCCTTGAAGGGCGCCCCCGGCGGGCCAAACTTACCTGGAGGACCGTTCGGGGCCCCATTGGGGCTATGAGGCTTTCTCTTGAACGCATTGGGTGGTCTATGCGTTCGTTCACCGAGTTAGTTAATGATTTTGGGGAAGTTTTAGGTCTGACGACCCTGTCCCCCGCCTTAATCAAAAAATCCCTTCGGGAGGGGGTTTTGAGGCAGCTCCAACGTGAATCAGGACGTAGTTTAGGCCTGCAGGACCGCCTTTGCTACGACGTTGTGGAGGCCTCCCCTCGGTCGCCCAAGTTCTCCGCCCTGGAGAAGGGCTGCATACGTGGTATGTGCTGTGGTGCTGCTTGGACGCTCGATCGCGCCATCTCTTGTGGTTACCAGCTCGATTCTGATGTATGCCCACTGTGTCGGGCAGCCCCCGACTCTATTCTTCATCGTATGTGGCACTGCCCCGCGGTTCAAGATACCAGAGACGAGCTGGTAAAAAGCGACATCCAGGAAGCTGCCCGAGCCATTGACCCTGCGTGTGCGGCCTCCGTTGCCCTGTTCACTCGTGGTATTTTCCAACACCCTGGAGACGTATGGCCCAGACCGTGCTCGTCTGGCGGCGTGGTGATTGCATGGGCTGAGGAACCCACTAGGACTGATACAGACGTCTCTGGGGATATTTTTTACCGATGGTAGTTGCAGGAAACATAGTATTAAGGAATTATCCCGAGCGAGCTGGGGGGTGTATAGCCCTGTCTGATGATGGATCCCTTCGAACCTCTGTTTATGGCCCCATGTGGGCTCCCCTCCCCCAAACTAGCCAGGCGGGAGAATTCGGAGCTTTTGACGCCGCTTCTCAGTGTATCACTGGCCCTTCCAAGGCCTACTCTGACTGCTCCAATGTGGTCCGAGCTTTTGGGGAGCCCAGGTCCGCACAACTGTCTTATAAGCGGCCCTATTCAGGTATGTTGTTCACCTCCATGGATGCCCCATGGGAGGATGTGATTAAGGTCAAGGCTCACGTCGGCGAGAGCGACAGCTTGACCCCTCTCCAAGCCTTCCACAAGAAAGGCAATGACGCCGCGGACATTGCGGCGAAGGCTGGGCTCACCCTCCATCCTGCTCCCACCTCTCAGCAGCAGGAAGATTTGTCGTTTAAGATTTCAGTTTCTAAGGCGGTGGTGCGTCTGGGGGCTCGTCTCATGCCGCTGTGGCCCAAGCTCGACCTCAGCGGTGTAGGTTTGCACAAAGTTCCCAAGCCCCCCAAGCCCGCCCCACCCAGTATTTTTGTTCACGAATGGGAATGGTGCCGCACTTATTGGCGCTGCAAAGTCTGCCTCCGTATCAAGCGTCAAGGTGCTTTTGTTTTTGGAGAATCGCCCTGTCCTGATGTTTCGGGATGCTCTGGTTCGGTCCCCGAATGCTTTGGTCAGGTCAGTTCTCTTGGGCATAGGCTCATATCATTCCAGTGTAGCGACGACTCCCCGCTCTTTGTATGCGTTTCGTGCAAGGCGGTATCCACCCTAGGGCCTCTGGCGCTCTTGGGTAAGCCTTGCACTCATCCCACTCGGAACAATGCTGAGCGGTGGAAGTACAGGATTTGTAACTGCAAGCATCCTAGGAAGGATGGGGTTTTCCTCGAGGTATCCCCAGAGGAGGATCCCCTTGCTCACGAGCCAGGCCAGCAGCAAGGAGATGTCGTTGACCCGTCGTCTGAGCCGTCGGTTCCGTCGTCGTCGTCTGCGCGTCTTGTCGTCGCTGCTGGCCCAGGCACTCCGCATGTGCGCAGTCTCGCCCCAGGCCACGGTGCGACCGCCGCGCCGAGGCATACTGGAAGGGAGCTCGACTTTTCGGCCGAGGAGGAGGCGGCTGATCTCCTCCTTGGCCCCTCTCAGCCTTCTTTGTATTCTTGCCCTCCCCCCCCCACAAGAGGAGGAGGGGAGGCAGGGCAGTTGCGCGCGGTGCAGGAGATCCTCCGAAGGGAGGAAGACGAGGCTCCGCTGGTGCAAGCTGCCCGCTACAGGCCATTCGTTTCCGACGAATCGGACTGACCTGTTGTTTTTGTGTCCTGGGGGTGTTTCTCGCTTCTGCGTTTGCCACCGCCCAGGTCTTTCAGCGGTGCCATCAAGGGCTCCGTATCTGCCTGGTACCCCCAGGGAAAGGTCCACGTTAAAAAAAATCCTCCTCTTCCTCCTCTTCCCGGCGACCAAAATCCGCCTAAACCTGCTCAAGATCGTTCCCCAGGCCTCTCCAGGGGTCCATCCGGTGCAGTCTTTCATCCGGGGTCCGTTTCTGGTGGCCCGAGGGTTCGCGAGCGCCTCCCCTCATTCGCCGAGAACGACGCAAAACCGAGATCGACGAGAATTCCACGAAACATCCTCCTCCCCAGACCTCCGACGTCGTGATTTTACCACAAAGTCTGCCCCCTGAGGTCTGGACCCCCTCTCTGTGAAGGTCCCGGGGTGCGTTGAGGGCTCCCTGAGGCCGAAAAAAAAACTCCCGTCGTGATTTTTGCGCAACGCACGGAAGTCTGGGTCATCGACGTCCTCCTCCACATCCACGACCCCGCCGACGTCGCGGCCTGGGAGGTCAGAGGTGCTGGAAGGCGCCGGGGCGGGGAGGAGGGGGAGAGAAGAGGGCGCGGAGCTGGACGAGGCGCAGGGGGGAAGGCGTCAGTCGGGCGTCGATCGCTCCTCGGTCGCCTGGAAAGGGAGCCTTGGGAGGTCCCTGCGCCGTCCTCCTCCTCCTCCTCCTCCTCCTCCTCCTCCTCCTCCTTTTCCTCCTCATCCTCTCCTCCTCCTCCTCCTCCTCCTCCTCCTCCTCCTCCTCCTCCTCCTCCTCCTCCTCCTCCTCCTCCTCCCCCTTCTCCTTCTCATCGTCGTCGTCGTCCTCCTCCCCCCCTTCATGTCCCTTTTCCGTGCCCTCGTGGCCGCCGGGGTTGCTCGGGCGCCCAGGGCCGCTCCTAAAACGTCATGTGCGTCGCAACGTGTCCGGTCTCTCAAATCCGCCACCGCGCCCTTGGCGCGAAGTGGAGTTCCCCGTGACAGTCCCAGGAGGAGCCCGGGAGGGGGTCCACAACATCAAAAATCAAACTTTCCGCCTCCAGAGGCTCCAGGAGGCCCCAAGAGGGCCCCAATAGGCCCCAAGGAGGCCCAAGAGGCTCCCAGGCGGCACAGAAGGACCCCAAGAGGCCTTTCAAACGGCCCCCAGAAGGCCTCAAAACTGCCTCCCAGAAGCTTTCGAGAGGCCAACCACGAGATGCCAACCAACATCCATGAGGCCTCTGGCCCACAATCCAGGCACGGTGGCGGGATGGGCCGAAGGCCATTAGATACAGCTTTCACCCCGGGATGCATCAAATCGTGCAGATCCGCCTGATACAGGCGACGATTGTATCGCATGCACTCGCAGCCGCCATGCTCAACTTCTCCATATTCCACAAGCGGGAAAATCCTAGTGAAAGCATATTGGGCGCATCGCCGGAACCGTATAGTAACGCTTCGCCGCCATCGAATACGCAATTTCTGCGAATACGAATCGCCACGCACATCGCCATACACGGGAGGAAGAAAACAATTCAGATCCAGCTATCTTAGCCATTCTCCTCCCCACCTCCTCCTCGAGCGGGGGCGGGGAGGAGGGCCGACAGAGCTGGATCTGCATTGTTTTCTCCTCCCACTGGAGCACGTCGAACAGCAAAACACTCGAAGATGCATTCGGCTGTCGGATAAGTGAACCTCCAGGAAATTCTAAATAAGTGCAACGGTCGCTGGCGCGGTGGAGTAGTTCCCCAATGAAGCAAGCGCGAAACATCTCTAAGTTTACACACGCAACCTTCCGGGGTCGCCAAGGCGCGCCCCATTCTTGCAAGACGGTCTGAAAAGATTCGCCCTTTAATAACCGATCAACGCATAGTTTCGCCCATTCTTGCCATTGCTTTGTTTGTTTCACCTGCCAGAGTTGCAGAGGGTCTTCTTTGTGAGCTGTAAAACTGACGTTTCCGAGCTGCGTGATGGAATTCGAATCAACGCACGCGGAAATCACAGCTTCGGCCTCTTTCAACGAGCGGGCTGCGAGCAATCGGGGGTGCCGTTCTGCCAGATTACGGTTCAATCGCATAACAGAACAACTAATGGAACCCACACTTCCAAATGACTACCCAATGCAAACTGAGGACGCAGCTCAACGACGATCTTGTTTGCACACGGATCGCGAAACCACGGATCGTATATCTTATTGTTGCGCGCGCTATCATGTATTTTGATCGCTTCGAGGCCTTTCGCAATACGTAACGAAGGTCCACCACGGCGACCTTTGAGCATGGCGATCGCATTATTCATGGAAATTCCAGTGCCAAGCAAGACCGTCAAGGTTCCACGAATGAAGCAAAACTGTACCCAATCCAACAGATGCCCTTTGCTAGTCACCGGCGTAAAATGCTCAAAATCATCGCCATGCTGCTTGTCGCAAGGCCCGCAGACGCAGTAATTTTTTTTGCGGTTGGACGCATCCTCCCCCCTCAAACTATAATCCGCCACCGTGCCCCTGGCGCGAAATGGAGACCCCCGCTGGCCCTACTTCTACGGACCATGGCACGGGCGCCATAGTGGTATCATTTGCACGCCTTGCTGTTCAGGGCGCCCTTCTTGTCGCCGCGCGCGACATGGCTAGCGTCCACGGGAAAAGCCGACTTCGGAAATTCCTTCTGGCACCTGCCACTGCACTGAAAGGCCTGCCAAGTGCGCGCCGTGAGCCCGTCGGCAATGCAACCCGCGCGTACAAGTTTACTCTTCCTCGCGAAGTGTTGGCTCTCCTGTGCGGCGCTTATGCATGCGTTCCTGCCGCAGAGATTGTATATCGCACGCCGCGCGCGTCAATTGTGTTTTCAACCGCTTCGCTGCATCGGCCGCTCCCTTCGCGGCAGAAATCTGCAAAAAGGGCGGGAGGGGGAAGAGGATGAGGAAGGAGGAAGGGGGGGGGAAGAGGTAGAGGGAGGAAGAGGAAGAGGAAGAGGGAAGAGGAGGGGAAGGAGGAAGGAGGGGAGGGGGACGAGAAGGGAGAGGGATGCGGATGAGGAGGAGGAGGAAGAGGAGGAGGAAAAGGAGGAGGAGGAGGAGGACCAGGTGGAAACATACTTCCAGGCGCGGTTTTGTTGCCCCCTGCCTCGCGCCTCCCGCCTTCCGCCTGATCCCGCCCCCCGCCTGTTGCCGCCTGCCCCCTACGGTGTCGAAGACGGCCCAAGAAACCCCCAAGACGGCCCAAAGGCGCCCAAGGGGAGCCCGAACCGACAATTCGAGCCCTCCGCCACGAGAAACTCCCCGGAGGCCCCAAGAGGGCCCCAAAAAGTCCCCCAAAAGCTCCCTAAGAAGCCACCAAAACGCCCCACGCCCCCAAGAGGCATCCCCCAAACGGCCCCCGGGAAGCCTCGACACCAAGAAATCCGAAGAGGCCGCCCCCAAGAAACCCCAACGAACATTCCATTGGCCTCATACCCTCAATCCGCGCACGGTGGCGGGATGGGCCGAAGGCTGGTAGATTATTCCTTGGCCGTTTCAGCGGACGCGCTCCATCAGCAGGGGTAAACTGTTTGTCGCAGAAGAAGCACGTGCGCACCATTGCTGCGGTGGGCTACCACGACTGATCGTAAATGGCGACAATTGACCCAAAAACCGTTTCCAAAAACGGTTTTTGGAGGGACGGGGGATAAAGTCCGCTACCGCGCTTGCAGCGGTAGGTGCGCCTCAGGCCCCTTCGCTCTTGCGAAGCAATAGTTCGGGCCCTGACGCATTGAACGCAAGATGCGTTTATTCCCCAAACAGCTAGCTGAACGGGGCGCTGTTGCGATAGAAGCTAACTCCAGGAGAGGGAAGTGGAAGCAGAGACATCCTCACAAAATGTGATGGTCCGGGCCGTTTCGCTTGAGACATCCCCACAACTCTCGCTTCTGAATTGGCCGGGATTGGCCGTTTCGCATAAGACGTCCTCGAGCGAGCTCCCAAGTGGGGGGCCTGGAGAAGCCTGAGGGGAGCCGATGGGGGCCCCGCCCCTTGAAACCGATCCATGTTTCTTCCCCGAGCCAGAGAAGCCAAACTTAGAATCGAATTAAAGTGGCGGGCGCAAGAAGCCACGCGGAATTGCGCACTCGAGGGGGGGGGGGGGGATGAGGGAGAGGAAGAAGGGAACCAGGCCAGACGCGCAGTGCGAGGTACATGTCTCCAGAAAAGGCGGGCCGACCCGCGACGGCCATCACGCGAAGGCATCCTGCAGCGCCGTCAGCGCCGCGCTCTCGGAGCCGTGCTCTGGGTGCAGGGCCCTGGCCAAGGTCACCACAGAGTTCACGCGCTCTGCCAGGAGGCTGTCGCCCTCGTTCCAGGTCGGCAGCGCGTGCTCGTTGAAGTGACGGAAGGTGTTGCGAAGAAAAGAGAGCATGGACAGCAATTGCCACCAAGGCAGCGAAATGGCGCGGGCCGCATGCGGCACCATGCTCTCGGAAACCGATCGAAGCCTTTCCACGGGGACTGTCCCGCTTTGGAGCGGAATGCCGGCGAGGTGGAAAGTCCGCGCCACCGGGCGCCAGCGCCAAAGGCCTTCCAAGCGGAGCTTCTTCCGCAGGAGCCGGCAATGCCTTTGCACCTTGGCCGTCCACGCCGTCTTCGCCCCAGGCTTGCGCACCAGGGCTGGCCTGCTGGCCCGCCATATCCCCCTGCGCAGCGTCGTCGTTTTCCGTCCGGGTTTGTACCATGCCTCGATCCTCTGCGCTTCGCGCTTCAAGGACTTCAAGCTTTTCCACCCATGCGGCCCTTTCAAACGACGCAGGCATGCTTGGAATCGCCGGGCGAGCCGGGCAAGCGTCCCGCGCGGAGGTTTTGCCCCAAACTTCTCCTCCCAGACGTCGCTCCGCCACGCGCGCCTGGCTTCCAGCAGTGCCCGCACTTCCCGGGCAGCCTGCGGCTGCGCTCGAATGAGAGCGCCAGCTTGCGCGGAACCAGCGACGGCTACATCGCGGAGCAACCGCTTGGCGCCTGCTGATAGCAGCGCCGGCTGCGGCGCGGGCCTCGGCTCGTCGGGGCGGCCCTCGCCCGAAAGCCGCGTGACGAGGTCGATGCGGTCGTACTTCAGGTCGGAGGCGTCGCCGCACATGTGGCGAGTCGCCTTCTTCAAAATGATTGTGTCGTTGACGGGGTCCCTCGCGATGACGCAGCGCGGGCCGGCACCCTGTTGGGCGCTGGTCGCAGGGCCTTTGGGCGTGCGAGCAACGGCCCGAATGCCGAGATTGCCCCAGATCTTGCTGTGCAGCTTGGCGAGCTGAAGCCAGTGCCCGTTGCGCACATCTGTGGAATGGAACACGGGGAGTGTCTCGTCGAGCGCGAGGCCGGCCTGCAAGCCGCAGACGCGGATGTCTCGAAGCAGCGGCGTCAGCAAAGCCTCGACGCCCCCCCCAAGACTCACCCTTGCTCGCGTGGTAAGGCTCGAGCAGAGAACCGTCCACCCCGCAGAAGCCGATGACGGCCGTGCACGGCCGGGACACGTGACCATCGCTGTCGTAGATGATATGTGCCAACTTGTAGCACCCGTCCACGCGGACCCCGCGCCCTTTGCACAGCAACTGCCTCTGGCGGACGCGAGCATCCACAAAACCGGCGAAGCCCTTGAGCATGACGGACCGCAGCGCAGCGCATCCCGGCATCGTCGATATGTGCCACGAAATCCCCAATGGCGCACGCCCCTCCCGGAGGGACCGACGCGCTTCGTCAAGCAGCGCTGACGAGTACAGAGCAGAGAGGCGACGACGGGCCCCCCGCGCATTGAAGCACTCGTTGAATGCCAGGCACGCTTCGAGTACGAAACGCGCAGTCATGTAGACCGGGGCCCCAGAACGACACCGGTGGATGATCGCGTCTGGGAACTCGCGCTTCACGTCCTCGTCGCGGACGGCCCAGTACTGTTCCCCCGCTCCAGTATGGCGCCTGCGACTCAGCCCCAGCAGGGTGGTGGAAGCGCGGCGTGCCGTTGCATCATTGGAGCATGTGCGGCACCGCCATGGATTGGCTGTAAAAGCCCAAGACAGGGGCATGTCGAGAACGGCGCGCGTGTTCGCACCGCGCGTGGACATCGGGGGTACCATGAATGGCCGACCGCGGGCTGCTGTCTCAGCGGCATGCTGACGAGCACCTTCTGGCATCACGGGGGTCGCAGCCACGCCGCAACGCGCCTCCGCGTCCCGCCAGGCTTGGCGGACAGGGTCGACGTGTTCAACGGCATACTTGGCCAAAGCAGCAAGGACGCCAGACTCTTGGGCAGCCGATGCCTCAGCGTGGCCGCCGACTATTCTCTCCAGGCGTAAGCGCCCGTCGCTACGGTGAGCCACACTATACGCGATCCCGATGTCCTCGAGCTCCGACACTTGCACGTGTCCACGCCATCCAATATGTAAGAGCCGCCCGACTCGCGCTCCTCCACAATCGCGGATATGTCCACCATCGGGATGTGGCGCCACAAGAACGTGTCGAGGATCATCACGTTCCGACCCCGCAAGGTCGCCTGCATCCCGCGCCTGGCAGACCAGACCGTGCACGATGGCGCGTCATCGACATCGTCCAGATGGAAAAGGCGCGTGTCCATCAGGCGCGCCAGCATTTGAGGCGTCCGCCCGGCTCGAAGACGCCTGGCCAAGCTAGGGCAATCCTCGTCCCAAGAGCGCGCGGAGACCTTGTCCCGCGAGCCTTGGGCGGCTGTCGCCTGTTGGGCCTCGCGGGCACCGCCGCAGCACAAGCGGGTCTGAGGTTCGCCGGACAGCGGCTGCGCCCGCGGCGCCACCTCTCGGCCGGCTGGGGTGGCGGGGGCCCCTCCCGCAGGACAATGCTGCGTGGTTTCCTGGGCAAACGCTTCGGCCAGCCTCTGCTGTCATTGCATGGCGCTGCCATGTGCGATGATGCTGCCCGCGCGGAAAATCTTCTTGAGCCGTGACTGGCAACAGTGGACACTTGCGCACGTGCACTAGCTAGCACGTGCCCAAGACGGCCGATTGGTGCCCAAAACGACCCAAGAAACTCCAAGACGCCCAAGGTGACCCCAAGACGTTCCAAGAGGCTCCCATGAGGCCTGGGGAACGCTTGGAAATGCCGAGAGCCCCAAGCTACCAAAAGCTGCAATATTGCAAAGGTGTTGGTAAGATCTTGGCATTCTCTCGATTTCGGTTTTCCGACGCTCCAAAATGGCTCACGAGTCTCCCAGGACCGCCGCTCCAAGGACGGCCCGAGAGGCACCCAAGAAGGGCCCAAGAGGACCCCAGACGGATCCAACACGCCCCACGCGGCGATCTTGAAGAGCCTTTGGGGCCCGCAACAATTGACCCAAAAACCGTTTCCCAAAACGGTTTTCGGAGGTGCGGGGACGCAGCTCGGGGTTCGTGTTGTTGTCGGTGGTGGTGATGTCGCGTGTTTACCGCTGCTGTTCGGCGATCGTTTTTCCCCATATCCTAAGATGGGGTTCTTGTCATTACTTGGACGCCTCCTACTTATTCTCCTCCTCCTCCGCTCCTCCTCTCCTCCTCCTTTTTCGTCCTCCCCTCCTGTCGGACTTACTCATACTCAGACTTACTCATACCCAGATTTGTTCGTACACAGACTTACGTATACTCAGACACACACATACTCAGACCTTCTCATAGTCTGAGTTACTCAACGCACGGCAGATTGTGAGGATGTCTCAGGCGGGGCGCTGGTTTCAGTACCCCTAAAGGGAGCCGCCAGGGGGTATATCACGGGCCCGTTCGCGGCCAGTTTGTGGGGATGTCTCAGGCTGTTTACTCGTTCTCGTGCTCAACATCCTTGGTTTGCATAGCAGATTGTGAGGATGTCTCAAGCGGGGCGCTGGTTTCATCACCCCTAAGGGGAGCCGCCAGGGGGTATATCACGGGCCCGTTCGCGGCCAGTTTGTGGGGATGTCTCAGGCGGTTTGCTCGTTTTCGTGCTCAACATCCTTGGTTTTCATAGCAGATTGTGAGGATGTCTCAGGCGGGGCGCTGGTTTCAGCCCCGTTCGCGGCCAGTTTGTGGGGATGTCTCAGGCGGTTTGCTCGTGTTCGTGCTCAACATCCTTTGCTTTCATAGCAGATTTTGAGGATGGAGGAAAGGGGCGGGAGGAGGAGGAGGAGGAGGAGGAAGAGGAGGAGGGGGAGGAGGAGGAGGAGGAGGAGGAAGAGTATGCACACATGGGGAGCTCCGAAGTTACCGCAGGCTGAGGAGGGCACGGCCTGGCAGCTGAGGAGGGGGAGTGAAGATGAAGAGGCTCATGTTCAATCATACTCAGCTCACTCTGACCCATACTCACTCACTCGCATCAGGATGCGCTCGTCTTCGTCGGGCCTGTCGCCAACGTGGACGGGCTATTATAATCAAACGCTCATTAACAGGCGCTCACTACGGCATAATATAAAAAAACATGAGATGCACATATGGGAAGCTCCACGAAATGAGTAATTTTGTTGTTTTGCATTGTTGCTGCTGTACCCCGCTTGTCGATGGTTCTCACGCGCGCGCCGCTGCTACCGCGGCGAGCCACGCGCAGCCGCTGCGCTGATGGAATGAAGTGCAGGGGGGGCCCGTGCCCCCCCCGCGCCGTCCAATGTTTGCGGCGCGGGCCATCGCGGGCTATTCACGGTCGCGCGCCATCTAGGGCCATCTGGGGCCTGGCGCAACGCCAGAGTATCCGCGGGCCACTGGGCACCCAGATCAGATGAGATGGTCCTTGGAGACGCGCAAGCGGCTGAGCTCCTCAACGGCCTTAGCGTCCAGATCTGCAGCCTTTGCCTTCTGGTACTGGTGGGCCTTGCGCCCCCTCTGCTTCTTCTCCCCTGGTCGTCAACGTCGCTGGGCGTCCGAAGCAGACCAGCCTCCACGAGCGAGGCGCGCGCCTCCTTAATATGTTCGGCTAGATTCTTTGAATGGACCCTGTTGCGCAGCCAATTCCGCGCATCGGCCGTGGAGAAGATCTGGTGGTTGTTCTTTCCACGCTTCAAGAGCTCGCGCATCAACGCGTCGACCCCTTGCAGGCCGCGATGGGCGGCGCGGGGCGGAGCGGCCTTTTCGAAGGCGTCGGCCAACGCCCTCGGGCCATCGCGCCCCGTCCCCAGAGCGGCCTCTGCGTTGGCGATGTACACATAGAAGCCGCCGTGCAGCGAGACCTGCCTGAGCCACTTCCGCGCGCCACACATGAATTCGCAGGCGTTGATCTGCGTGCGCCGCGGATTGAAGCTCACGCGCGTGGCCAACGACTCCAAGTGCATGGCTTCCCGCATCTCCGCCAGGCTGAAACGGAGGATGTCCGAGAACGCGAAGTTCAACTTGATGGTGAAGTATTTGTTAGGGCGAGCCGTGGACTGGGCCTTGCTGTCGAGCCACTCTGTGATCGCCACTTGGACGATGCGCCACATGGTCCGAGCCTGGCCGTCGTAGCAGAAGCGCAACTGCTGTTCGTATGGGCCGACGATCATCCAACTGTGCAGCGACCACCAAAGCCCGCCGCTGGGGCCAGCCTTCACATCTGGGTTGAGAGGGTTCCTCTCCGGCGCGAACGCGATGGGCGGTCTCTTCTGAAAGCCTGAAAGCCCTGTGCCCCGGGCCGTAACACCCACTCGCAGGCCTCGCACTGTCCGTTCGTCTTAAATTTGAAGGCATGCGATGTCAGGTGCACGGTGCCTGCACCTGTGAGCACATCGTCTGGCTCACACTGCAAGTATGTGCACAGCTTGCCGCGCGGGAGGAGGTGCAGGCCGCTGCTCTGGTCGCTCCAGAGAGTGGCCATCGTTTTCACGATCTCGTCGCTGGTCGCAAATGCCCTGTTGTAGTTGAGGAGCGCGGTCCGGCTCCCTTTCACCGTGGCCTCGGTCAAGTGCACGGAGCGGTCGCGGAGCGTCGGCGGTGCATACTGGTTCTGGGTGATGAACGCTGTCGTGGCCGCGCACTGGCTGCTCCCTCGAAAATGGCAAGCCTGCCAAGATCACAAGCAGATTGGGGCTGATAGCGTGCACGTGGTGGACCTCGACGAGGTCGACGTCCGCGCCGGCGCCCGCCGGCGCCTGGGCTGCCGACGCACTGGAGTCGGCCTCTGCCGCCCGACAGCTCACGGCATCCAGGATCATAGCCTCAACGCACTTCCAACGCGGCGCTAGCGCCACGCGGGGGGCGCCCAGCTTGTCAGCGACCAATTTGGAGGCAATTGCGAGCCATGGTCTCCGCGTCCGCTGCCCCCACGACATCACGCACGGCTGCCTCTACTTGCTCCAGTGGGAACCCGGCGACCTGTTACAGCGGGGGGACCTCAACGACCTCGGGGTTGCCCCGTTTCTGTCCCCGGGGCAGAGCGTCAGCAGCGTCGTCGCAAGGAGCATCGCCCAATGGCCGCGCGGTCTCCCATGTCTCTGGCGCGCCCACTAAATGCGGCATCGGGCCAGCTCTGGCAGCATCGCCAGCAACGATAGCTCCGGCCGCATCGCCAGCAACGACACGTGGCTCAGGCTCCGGGTCCCCGCCAAACCGCGCCCCGTGGTGCTCCAGGAAGCTGAGGTTGTTGTCGATCGAGAGCGCGCAAGACTCATGGTGCCAGCCGTTTTTGAGGCAATAGGTTATGCCGGCGACGTAGGAAGGGATCGGGGTGTGGAGTCCCTGGTCGAACTGGTCATCCGCGGAAATGTCGCGGTGGGCACGCCCGTCAGCGTAGATGTGCTCCAGCTGCGCGGACTCCTTCTCGTCCTGGGCTCCATCGAACAAGCCTTGGGCCAGATGGCGTCGTTGAGCTCGCCCACCGTGCTGGCCGCCCGCACCTGCTCGATGTGCTCGCCCACCGGATCGGGCGGTGCTGTAGCCCTCTGCACGTCCGAGTCTTTGAATCTGAACCCATGCGTCCGATTCCCCTCGGCTGG